ATTTTGCCTTGTTAATAAAATATGTGGGGTATTATTAAGCATATATACAGGCTTTATATTTGTCTTTCAATGAATAGAAGTGTTCTGTTCACTTGTGCCAAGTGGCTCTTAGAAAGCACATTTTCATATAGTTCGCAATGTTTTGTGATGAACTGTATTAAGTCATGTTTTTGAATATCTGAAGATGAAAAAAGGAAATAGACGGAATAGACTGCATTCATGCATATGGCCAGATCCACTGTTCTCTCTCTTCATTTGGTCTTGTGTGTGTATTTCCAGAAGATTTTTGGAAGTGGATAAATCTGGACATCATACACAACAATACTGCATTCAGAGTTGTAACTCACAATGAAAACATGGTAATGAACTAGAGCAGGGGTGGGCAAACTTGGCCCTTCCAGGCCACTTTCCTTCAGTTTAGCTCCAACCCTAATCAAACACACCTGAACCAGCTAATCATTGTCTTCAAGACTACTAGAAGGCTACAGGCAGGTGAGTTTTATCAGGGTTGGATCAAATCTCTGCAGGAAAGTGGCCTGGAAGGGCCAAGTTTGCCCATCACTGAACTAGAGACACAGAGTAGTCTGTGCATGATGGATTGCTATCCAGCATTAATTTAATATTACTTGAGAGTTCAAACACAAGTCAGCTTTATTTTACTGTGAATGCTGCAATGGCAAATATAATAATATAATATAATATAATACTGTTTTAATTTATATTATTATATTATATTTAATATAATAATTAACCCAGTGTTCTGAATGGTGTGACTGATAATGCATCTAAAGGAAATTGGAATAGTTCTTTAAATGTGTATATTGAAGCATGACTAACGGACTTGAGCTTGAACTCCCTTTCCAGACAGAAGTCAATCCACCTGTCTCAACACCTGCCACTTCATCTCATTCTGGCAGCACAATGGCACAACCTACTGGTCATTTGTAGTAATACACTAGTTTGGGCATCAGAACTAACCCCCGGTTTCACAAACAAGGCTTAAACCTAGTCCCAGACTAAAATGTAAATCTGGGCTGTTTCAAATGAAAGAAATGTGCACTGAATGAATCTTAAAATATTTCAGTGCCTTTGTTTTGTCTCGAGATGCACACCAAATGTTTTTTTGCACACAGTAATGTTTTTATTTTTCTACGGAATGTTTATAAAAATTACTTGAATGTCCTAATTGAGCTATGGCCTAATCCTGGTTTAGTCTAAGCCCTGTCTGTGAAACCAGGCCTAAAAATATAGATCCTGGTTTAAACTTATTTTGTTAATAGAAATTACACTAAACTGGATATAACAGAGCAGCATCTTATCCAGTCGCTGTCTTGAAAAAGCCCATAGCCTATTTAAAATAATAATAACAACAATAATAATAATATGTCTAGAAATATATCGATAGATGGAGACAGATATATTGAAAACAGCTTGTTAAATTTATGTAAATTGCAGCGTTCACCTTCAATTCTCAAATAACATTTGTGCATTTGAATAATCAAATGCAAATCAGCATCAGCAGCTTCCACGATTAATTAATGCTGCCCTCCTGTGGAGCATAAACAGAAAGACTGTAGATAAAGGTAGCAATTTTCTAGATAAGAGAATCACGTCTGCAAATGATGAGATTTGATTCAGAAGTCCAGATTTGTCATAGATAATTTTTTTAATGTATTAATGCTATTCTATTCTATTCTTTGTTGGAGTAGCCTATTTCAATGGAATAGTTTACCCAAATATGAGGCCATCCATGATGTAGATGAGTTTGTTTGTTAATCAGAACAGGTTTGGGGAAATTTAACATCACATCACTTGCTCACCAATGGATCCTCTGCAGTTACAGCTAAAACATCACAATAATCCACAAGTAATCCACGCAACTCCAGTCCATCAATTAATGGCTTGTAAAGTGAAAAGCTATGTGTTTGTAAGAAACAAATCATTAAGGCATTTTAATAACCATTGCTTCTTGCCAAAATACCAGTCTATAGTGGATTACTTGCATTACTTGTGATGTTTTTATAAGCTGTTTGGACTCTCATTCTGATGGCACCCATTCACCGCAGAGGATCCTCTGATGAACAATTGATGTAATGCTAACTTTCTCCAAATCTGTTATGAAAAAACAAACTCAACTACATCTTGGATGGCCTGTGGGTGAGTAAAAGCAATTTTTCATTCTTGGATAAACTATTCCTTTAACTATAACTTTATTACTGTTAACTATTTCAAGGAACTGTTGCTGCTGCAAGGTAAATCACTCATCAAAAAATTTACACAGTGCAACCATCATTTTTCTCTCCGACAACAATAGTCGATTGAGTTACTCATCATGGCATGATACGCAATCAATGGGTCAGGGACACAGAGTAGTCTGTGCATGATGGATTGCTATCCAGCATTAATTTAATATTACTTGAGAGTTCAAACACAAGTCAGCTTTATTTTACTGTGAATGCTGCAATGGCAAATATAATAATATAATATAATATAATACTGTTTTAATTTATATTATTATATTATATTTAATATAATAATTAACCCAGTGTTCTGAATGGTGTGACTGATAATGCATCTAAAGGAAATTGGAATAGTTCTTTAAATGTGTATATTGAAGCATGACTAACGGACTTGAGCTTGAACTCCCTTTCCAGACAGAAGTCAATCCACCTGTCTCAACACCTGCCACTTCATCTCATTCTGGCAGCACAATGGCACAACCTACTGGTCATTTGTAGTAATACACTAGTTTGGGCATCAGAACTAACCCCCGGTTTCACAAACAAGGCTTAAACCTAGTCCCAGACTAAAATGTAAATCTGGGCTGTTTCAAATGAAAGAAATGTGCACTGAATGAATCTTAAAATATTTCAGTGCCTTTGTTTTGTCTCGAGATGCACACCAGGCACGTCTAAGGCACGTTTATAAAAAATAATTTAAATGTCCTAATTGAACTATGGCCGAATCCTGGCTTAGCCTAAGCCCTGTCTGTGAAACCAGGCTTAAGACTGATTTTTTTATAGGCTTTATAGACGGATAAGTTGCGAGTGACCAGCGTCACATCCTCTTGTACCACTGTTTGAAGAGTGTATCTTCTAGAATCTGTCAGTAAGCTGAAATAGATGTGTTCTGAGCGCTGTGTGCTCCTGCAGAGATCTCCACACGTCTGATGAACAATTGATGTAATGCTAACTTTCTCCAAATCTGTTATGAAAAAACAAACTCAACTACATCTTGGATGGCCTGTGGGTGAGTAAAAGCAATTTTTCATTCTTGGATAAACTATTCCTTTAACTATAACTTTATTACTGTTAACTATTTCAAGGAACTGTTGCTGCTGCAAGGTAAATCACTCATCAAAAAATTTACACAGTGCAACCATCATTTTTCTCTCCGACAACAATAGTCGATTGAGTTACTCATCATGGCATGATACGCAATCAATGGGTCAGGCTGCGTGAGTTATACAAAGTTCTCAATCCAGTGAAGTAACATCTTGTAATCTATGCACATACATACATCCTGGAAACACATCTCTCCTCCCACACTGTCACTGAGAGTTCATGTAGGCTTAACAACATGAAACCAGACACTCCCAACAGCCCTGCCTCTCTGTGTCTGGAGATGGACATCCCACAGAGGGAGACCTAGAAAGAAGAGATGAAATCACAGCAAAAACGAAGGGTCCACAGCACTATCCAGATGCAAGCAGATACTGAGTTTACATCACCCCTGTTGTTATGTGATTCACTAAAGGCTTATGGGATTTACACCAGAGCATGTAGAGTCACAGATGTGGCATTGAACGGGAATAGAGTATAGATTGAAAATCTGAAAGGTGAGCTTCAGACTGAGCTGCAGGTCAGGTTACTGAATTTTCTGTGGCATTATATGCATGCAGATGCAAACTAATTTAAAGTTTTAATGAAGCATTATATAATTATCCTGAAATTAACATTCTGTCATCCTTTAGTCCCTGGTGGTGGATGAGGTGATCCCCCCTCACAATGTAAAACGCGTTGAGCCCCTAGAAAAGCGCTATATAAATGTAACACATTATTAATTATTATAATTATTTAATCACCATCATTTTATTCCAAACTCATGTTATTATTATTATTTTGTCACCGGGGCAAATGAGGTTTGAGAGCAGATTACCAGTGGATAATGCCTTAAATTCCAGTCCATTCCTCACACAAAGCCTTCAATATATACCTTCAAATCAAATGACTTGGAATATACAGCAGTATACACTGAAAAAAATATTGCTGTTGAAACAATTTTCACTCAGAAATTTCAGAGTTTCACACAAGTAACACATCGAATTTAACATGAAATTTGGAAGTGTAAAAACTGAAATGGTATTGTCTTTTTTTTAACACCGTATACATGATATTGGGCCAGTTTTATGGTACATCCATGGTGTGTTTTTACCTTGATCTCTTGAAACTCACAAAGACAGAATAAGGTCTGTCTGATGAAACTCACAGTAGCTAACCAGGGTATAATAGATACAGAATTATTTCAGCTGTTTTCTTGATCATTCTAGTTGGAAATTAACTAAAAGTGAAGTGTGCAATATTTGAAGTTTATTGTAGATTAATATGCAGAGAGTAATCAGTGGTAGATGGGGAATGTTTGAGAAGCCTGTTTAAAAAAAGGTTGTTTTGTTTTGTTTGTTGCTAGTAGCGGTGCTGAAGATGTGAAGATGCAATCAGAAAATAACCTTCATTAAACATGTAAACAATGTGCATGAGCCAAATTTGGAGCTCCATTCTCCTCAAAGGTAAACCCAGGAGCTGCCTGATTAACCCAATATCTTCCTAGAAAAGAGAGCCAAACTTGCTTCGCCAAAACAATTACGAGTTAGATATCTAGTTTAAAACTTTGAGAGCATAATTACAAACTATAAATTATGAATATTGGCTGAATGCATAGCAGTGATGAAGGCAGTTTACTGGTTCTCATCCGTCATGTGCCCATCACAGGGGTTTGGCTTGTGAACCCGTAAGCTTTCTGTCCTTGTTTGGCAGGTGATGATGGGATGGACCAACCTTGCTGAAGCATTGAGATGGGTATAAAACCTCTCGAAGGTCATTCTCATTCCTATTCCCCATCTCACACCCTCTTGCTCACCATCTTGGTGGAAGAATGGCTCCTAAAAAAGCTGAACCGAAAAAGGAGGCGGTAAAGCCAGCACCTCCTCCTGAACCAGAAAAACCCAAGGAACCTCAGTTTGACCCCAAAAGCATTAAGGTAAGTACACTTGCTGTACGGTTCTTTGTTGGTATTGCTATTTTACTAGCTGCCCAGTTTTAGACCATGGTGAGCAGACACAAGTGAGTAGACAAAGTAAATTCCTCCCTAAAGTCATCAGGAGGTAAGCTTAAACCTTAAAGGGATAGTTCACCCAAAAATTACAATTCTGTCTTTAATTACTCACCCTCATGTCATTTCAAACCCGCAAGACCTTCATTCATCTTCGGGACACAAATTAAGATATTTTTTATGGAATCTGAGAGCTGTCTGACCCTGCATAGACAGCAACACAACTGAAATGTTCCCAAGTCCAGAAACGTAGCAAGGAGATCTGTAAAATAATCCATGTGACATCACGGGTGTCACATGGATATAAACATCAGATATAAACTCACAAGTGCGAGATAAAAAGTTGCATGCAATTACCTGTTTTATATTTTTATTCTGTGGCAGAAATAAGCTTCAATAGGACCAAGACATCCCACCTTCTGGCTGTGTTGAGTTAAAAACATTTGTATATCGACTGGTCTTTAACCTTGTTATTAAAGTATGTGACATTATGTGCCCTGAACAACATGGCTCAAATCAATCAAATAAGGTTAAAATGTTTCCCACAAACTTTAGGCTTTAAAACCCCAGTCTCAGTTGAGTACATACTCTATGTGAAGACATAAATGTTTCTTCATATTGATTTGAGACCACATATGTAACTTTAACTAACCTGATGGTCAGTGATGGTGTCTGGACAATTGAAGCTCGCCTGAGGTCAGTATAAAAGAGCTTCCATGCAGGTGTCTGCAAGCTCCCATATTACAGTTTAACATTCCTGTTCTGTTGTCTGAGTGAGTGTCTCTCTCATGTGGACAATAAGGATGAGGTTTCACTGTAATTCCCTCTGGTCCTAAAACAGACGTCTGTTATTCTTAGTCTCAATGGGTGAGGAACAGCTGACTTTTGTTGAATGGAAAGCTTCTTTAGAGAACTAAAACATCTGTATTTCCATTGTTGTTGTGCCTGTTATACATTGTTTGGACGTTCAAGTTGCTTATAGAAGTTCCCTAAAATCTTTTCCCACCCAGATTGAGTTTACAGCTGATCAGATTGAAGGTAAGCCTTTGCGAAACCAAGTAGACCTAAATTGACATTTTTTTTCATACCTCTTCCTCATTTAATACTACATATCAATATCCTATCCACACAGAATTTAAAGAGGCCTTCATGCTATTCGACAGAACTCTTTCTGGTGAAATGAAGATCACTTACGCCCAGTGTGGTGATGTCATGAGGGCATTGGGTCAGAATCCTACAAATGCAGAGGTGCTCAAAGTACTTGGCAAACCCAAACCTGAGGGTGAGAGGAATAAACTGTGCTTGACAGCAGGCTAAACCATGAATAAATTTTTAATGTGTCTCTAATATCTATTTTTTCTAGAAATGAACACCAAGTTGATTGACTTTGAGACGTTCCTGCCTATGTTCCAACACGTGTCCAGGTCCAAAGATCAAGGCACTTTTGAGGACTTTGTTGAGGGCCTGCGGGTGTTTGACAAAGAAGGGAACGGCACTGTAATGGGCGCCGAACTTCGCCATGTACTTGCAACATTGGGTAAATACAAAACACTGCTACACAGCAGCTCTTACACCGTGATACAGTATTGCTAACAAACCCAATGAGTGCTTTGTTAAATTAAGAAGAGATTTATTGGAACATAAGCAGCTTTAAAAAAATCTGTGTTTGACTCCTGGATTTACATATTTACTGTACCTTGAGATTAACGCTGCCAGAAACAAGCACGGAGTATCACATGTCGTGCCTGCAGGTGAGAAAATGACAGAATCAGAGGTAGAACAGCTGATGGCAGGACAGGAAGATGGAAACGGCTGTGTCAACTATGAAGGTGTGACCATTTTCCAAATTTGAAAAGCTAAAGCTAATATATTCTATATATTATTCTATCATTTAATCTTGTCCTTTTATCCTTTTCTCCCACAGCATTTGTTAAACACATCATGGCTGGATGAAAGAGCTCAGATCAGGTGATTATGAATTTTAAATGCAATGATGTTTGATACTGTTTCCGATTAGGATATAGATGGAGAAAGGACGTTCTAATTTAATCTGATTGTCTCACATTTTCCTTTTAGGCACTACTGTCCTCTGCAGTTATCAACAGTCCTTCAGCCCAGCTCTACGCTCTCTAATGCCCTTGAACTAGTTTTCCTGTATGAGATTCTTGTTGCACAGATTTTCTACTACATCAAACTAAACAATTATTTTGTAATGCATTGCAAAGAGCAAACTCCCTCCAAGTGTATGTTGAAATGTAACAATGTTTACTTCCAATGCATTTGTTGGTATATTAGGCTACTGAATGCTTGTAACATTACAGAAACTTATGTCAATGATTTTTTTTATGTGTCAGTGCACATCCACAAAGTCTAAAACTCACTGTCAGTTGGTATAAAAATAAACAAACATCGAAATTAAAACGGACCTTGCCTCAACAGTCTCTGTTACCTACTTTATAAGACACAGCTGGAGCAGATTTCTTATAAAAATGGATTACAGCAACAGCTGGAAAGAGAAAAGACTCTGGATCACCAGTGTCGGTGTGAATTACAGATTTACAGCTCAGACAGGATGAACGACAAGAGGAAATTCACATTACATGTGTAAAAAGTTTCTCTTCTAAGAAGGTTTCTTAGATCCTCTAGAGTTGCATTTTGGTCAATAGTCATTTGGTAAATGTGTTTAAATAAAGTGTTTGTCATAAATGTGATGTGATATAGATGGAGTAAACCAAAAAGATCACATACTGTGACCTATGTGTAATTACTATTTCCAGAATTTTTATACAACAGATGCTCAGATGTTTGTTTCTTCATGAAGAGGTTTATTTTGCGACAGTGAACGGCTAACTGTTCATTTTCTCACTTTATCCCATATTAGTACGGAATTAAATATCTAAATATTGATTTGAGCTCAAACTATTTTATCATTTTACCCATATATTATTCTAAAACCACTTAGAAAAAAGTTGTCCATTACACACTCTCAGAAAAAAAGGTACAAAAGCTGTCACTGGGTCGGTACCTCTTTAGAAGATGCACATTTGCACCTAAAAACTCCATATTGGTACCTTAATTAGCACATATTAGTATCTTAAAGGTACAAACGTGCCCTTTTGAAAATATACCTCCACAGTGACATATTTTGTACCTGTTTTTCTGAGAGTGCACTGAATAAAATAAATGCCCTATAGCAACAAGGCATTTTAACTGCAAGGGACAAAAAGTTATTTTCACTGCAGTCAATGACTGCCACCAGTTGTCTGTATAAAACGATCGGTCACCGGTGTGAAAATAGAGACATGAATTTAGATTCAGTTTCAGTTACCCCAACAAACAGTCTGATATTATACAGTGTGATCATTATTAGGAATATCTGACCACTGGATGTCCAATCAGAATCAGGGTAGCCTATTCCAGAGAGGCTAGGTGAATAAAATGATCCACAATTTGTGTATACACACATGGCTATATTACAGACAGCTCATTCTCATGGATTAGTGATAGACATGTGTGGGTCCACAGCTGGCAAGTGTTAATTTACAGACCAGAACAGCTCTCCATTCAAAGGCTATTGTATTTTTCCTGTGTGTCCTTGTGGCTCATGGCAACGGAGATGCTGTCATTTGTCTCCCTTATTGTTAGGCTGTGGGACACAAGCATCTCCTTTGATTTTTCAACACAATGACTCATAAATAGCACATTAGCTTCAGCTGTGTGCAGCAGGATTGAGAAACGCCGAGGCAGAGCAGGTTATTGTGTTACTGACATATGGAGTGGTAAGACGTGCAAAGATCTATCAGCAGCAGTACAAGAAGGGATTCTTCTCAGTTGCAGCCAAAGCTGCTGGATTGCTGTGAAGTTTTTCATGCTAAATATATTTACATCCAGAAATAAACTGCTACTTCCTGCCTTGTTGCCAGGATACCTTTATATTCACAATTGGAATAGCAATGTTCAGTTCATTTTGTTTGACTATGGCCTGTATAGACCCATGTAGTCATAGTGTAACATTCTCTTGAAACAGATTTGCAGCAACACCAAAAACAAGAGGATAGCTACTGAAAAAATTAACTAGTGTTGTCTTACCAATATATAATATCTTGTTCATGTTTTGTTATAGTGGAGACACTATCACGCCCACGGAACGTTGGCTAAAGGTCTGATGCATATGGCACACAAAAGTGGAAACACTTCAGAAGTTTGGAAGTCATCATCGGATTGGTTGAATTCTACAGGATCTCCGGGAGACGTGTGTGTCGCGTCCTTTTACGTTCCGTCTGGAAACTAAGATGGCCGTGGCGCCAAACCCCCTCACGAAAGAAGAAAGCCGCCGTGTTTACAACTGTAAATGAGAGCTTATCAGGATCAACTAAACGATTTTCAAAAGTATGTGAAATATTTAAAGTTCGCGGCACAGAATCTTTAAAATACGTCCGAGAGTTTTACACACCGGTCTGTTATTGTGGCGACATTTCCACGCCCCGAAACGTGACGCTAAAACGAAACGAACTGTGATTGGTTGTTTGACATGTCGATCAAACGGCCTCATGGGCGGGCTTTAACCAATGAAAGCTGCCATGTATTCGCGAGACTAGTTGTCACAGGTTTTATTTCAGTAAATATTTTTCAGGATATATTTTGTATTGCTCTGGAAAAAAACATACATTTACCCAAGTTGCGATTAATAAATTGACATAAAATTACATAATTTCAATTTACTCAAGTGCTATTATGAAAAATGATATTATAATACTGTTTATTACATTACAATTTTAGAATGTTTTGAGATAAGTGACGCTAACAATGGCAAGGTGTAACAAATGGATTTTATAAAATGTTATTATGTATTTTTATTTTGAATTAAACAAATGTGCATACATTAATATCAAAAAGTCAGATTTCCACTGAAGAAAAAATCAACTACCTCAGTCCTGAAGAAGAACAGACAACCAGTCATATTGACAAGGCTGAGACGCCATCTAATGGCCAAAAGTGTTTGTAACAGCCAGACTGCAACAAGATCATCATTTGAAATATTAAAGTTTGATGTATCAAAACATATTGAAATAAAGAGGGTTTAAAAATCCAACCCAGGAAGACAAGTCAGTGCAACAAACATTATCAGGCCATTAGCTGTCTCGCATAGAAAACGTCTAAAAAAAATATGCCTACTCATTCACATGTGGGCTAGTTGCTGAGCAACTCCCACCCAAGCCCAACCTCAACCAAGCGCTCTCAGAAGAGCATCTCACACATCTGAAGAACACGAGGACATTGAGAACATCAACAGCATCGCTCTTTTTCATACAGTATTCTAAGATAATCTATAGTACTGTTTTTACATGTAAGAGTTCCAGATAACTTGCTTAGCAATAGGAAGGAGGAGGAATTTACATTTGATCTTGCAATTTCTCTGTCTTTTGGGATAAAACAGCAGCAGGTTGTGCAGCGGGGAAACAGAGGAGCACAAGGACTCTTACTGTTAATGTGAAGCTGTGCAGGTGAAGGACTTGGCTTGGTATGTAACTCGGGGGAATATAGCTGAATTTGGTGGGGGGCAGATGGTGCAGTGTGTGTGAGTGAGAGCTTGTGTGTATCATGAATGTCTGTTAAGATTAGACTGTAAAAATATATAGGGGTTGATCATAAAAGTACACTGTTTTTAAAACAGTAACGTATTAGCTTGCTGCATTGTGCAGTGAATCAGCAAAAATCGGACCCAAATGTCTAAGATTTTCTGTAGAACCAGTTCAGAATAACGAGAATAAATGTCATATTTCCAAGTAAAAGTAAAAAATAAAATATTTGAGATTTCGCCTTTAGTCCTCCCGTAACAGGTATGGACACCCTTGCATTAAAGTGTTATTTTAGTAGCCTATCATTTACATACTTTATAGTTTTTTCATATTTTGAATTTAATTGTATTGTTATATTTTATGCTTTTACTTTCATTTTAGTAACATTTTATTTAGTAATTTTGTGTGTTTTCTGTCATTTTTTAAATGTCTGCATTTTTTTAGCACTGCAAGTTAAACTAAATGAAAATGAGAAATTATGCTTTGGCAACTAGCTGAAATAAATGTATTTTAAAATGTTATTTTATTTGTTAATGTTTATTTTATTCCAAGTAATTTTTTTTATAAACTGTTTTGGTTTTTAATAACAAACCCTTGTAGTATTTTCTATTCAAGTTTCACACACAATTTTAAATTAGTAGTCTCTGCCAGGGATTCAGGGGGTTTCTAAGGGGGTCCATGTCTTTTTCTCACACAGTATAAAAAGCTACTTATAGGGCTGTATGAAAATACATAGACACCTTTATGCTTAAGGTATCAAAAAGGTTTGTAAACCCTACTTCATTGTTAGAAAGCATCTGCCAAGATCGTAAATGTAAAGGTAATTCCTGATCACAACGCAGACACCCCTAAAATATATAACGTAATGTAACACACATGATAGCATTCGGTTAGTTGTGAATATCACAGAAATGTCATGTTAGTAGTGCACAGAGCTCATCCTGACATCATTCTTGATCTCGCTCTCTAGCGCCATCCTCTCTTTGCAGGACGCTGAAGGAACTGGCAGGGTTTGTTCACTGCTGACTGCTGCAGTTGGACAGACAATAACTCAGTGTGCCACAGAGGTAAGTCAAACCGGTTTACAAACTCAAAGACTTGTATTTAACAGCAATGCATCATTAATCAAGCACTGATATATGCTCTTAAGCCTTACCACATTTTTTTTTTACCCCTGCGAACAGTATATTGGTCTTAAGATGTTAGTGAATCCGACTGTTGGGTGTGTGACTGAGACATAACGGGCCTGATTTTCGTTATAGTTTGATCTAGAGAAGAAAGAAAATTCATGTAATTTCTCTGAGATTGCGTCGATAAGAAAAACTGCACATAAATCGGATTGCTTTCTTTATGCATTCGCACCAACCGGTAGTTATGGTCATGGACGCACAATATAGACAGTAACCATTTTATTTTCATTTAAAGAATATTACATTACATTATGTTTGTCTTTTAGCATGGCATGCAGGAATTTCATGAAATCTCGAGGCAGTGTGGCGACAGACGCATGCAATGCTTCACGCGCACGCGGTTTGCCGGTGTGGAAAAACCTAGAAGTATTGAGACACTGATGATGGAGCATAATGTGGCTCACACCGGTGCGTTAAGTAAGTCTGGATGAAAGGTGCCAGGTTTTTTCCACAGGTCCGTTGTGGTCATATAACGAATGACAAATCGATAATCGGGTTTTATGCGGCTTTTGCGCGTTGCCCTAATCCGCCTGACAGCGATAAACGGACTCGACGCGTCGCTGATCCTCCGGTGTAAAGCGATTTTCGCAGTTTGCTCTCGGTTGAGAATGGTGCTGAAGTTGCATGTGGCTGTTTTGCCATGGTTACACA